AATCTTGTCCCTACTTTACATTGTAGACAAAATTCAAGTTCAAATGGAACTGAGGCTGACCCTAAGAAATATGTCATTAAATTCCTTCTTCTCTAGCTTCAAACTGAGTTGGGCCAATGGAAGACATTAGCAGGAGACTGAGGGTGGGAACAGAATAAAGTCAGGATATTTATTCCCCAGGATCCTCCCTGCCAGTTGTCATGAGCCGTGGGCATCCCTCCTTGGAAGCTACAATTTCTATCAGGGAGCCCTTTCCACATAGCTACCTTCTCCCTGTTTAGGTAACCTCTTTCCTATTGTTTTTTTAAAGATCAAGTTGTATCAAGGGCTCTCAGCCATCACTAGTGCTGGATACTGCACAACTCACATTTGCTTTATATACTCTATCCACATGTTTGTAAATCGTCCCCTTTTCAAACTCCCAAAATACCTAGTTTGAGGGCCTTCTGTTTCCTGCTGAACTCTGACTAAATCAGGCATTGTCTAAAAAGGCTGAAGATAGTTAAAGATATACATATTCTCTCACTCAGGAATTGCACTTTACAAAAAGGTATGCTTATGTGCACTAGGTATATGTCCAATGCTATTCACTTAAGCAACATTCATAATATTTCCAAATTGGAAAAAACAAATGTCCAAAAACATTTGGATTAAAAAAAAATTGGCGTCAAAAATCTTATAATGGAATATTACATTCAAACAAAAACAAACAAAATACTCAAACTTTTTTACTTCAGGGCCCTTTTACACTCTTAGAAAAAGACTTCAAAGACCTTTTGTTTTATATATTCACACATATAGATATAAAAACTGAGTTTTTAAAATGTATATTCATTTTAAAAAATGGATACATGTTAATATAAGTAACATTTCTTATAAAAAATAACTTTGTTTTCTAAAAACAAAAATAAGAAGAGTGGGACTGCTTTACATTACTGCAAATCTTTTATCTGGCTTAACAGAAAACAGTACAATTTTCCTATCTGTTTTTACATTCAATCTGTGGTGATACTTTGTTTTGGTTGAAGCATATAAAGAAAAATCAGCCTTACACCAATACACAGTTGGAAAGGGAGTAGTAGTTTAACAGTCTTTTCAAGTAATTGTGGATATTCTTCTTTGATATTACACCAAAACTCATCAAGTAATAACTTCTTGATGCAATGTAGCTTCTGAAGCCCTATCAATAAACTTTTCCTACTCTGTTCATCAAAATCCACTGTCCTATCTTGCATGTTGGATGAAATCTTTTATCTATGCATGATTTTGTAACATCTATACATCATTTGAAAAATATTGGTTCACTGAATTATGCAAGTCTTCCAAATGATGACACTTCACTATATGACATTAAGGAAAAAATCACATTCATCTATCTCATTAGAAAGGTTTTTAAGTATTGACAAGCTGTCAAGTTCACAGAGGTAGATAAAATTTCTCCAAATTCTAATTTTCAAGTGAAGACTCAAATTTTATCATTGGCAACAAATACAATCTGTTGTTTTCTTTGAAGTGACAGGCTGACTTTGTTTATTTTCAAGGAAATGTCTGCCAAATACCACAGTAGGAGTAACCATAGTTTATCTATTAGTCATTCTATAAAGTACAAATGGCATTCTACTAAAAAGTAGCAAATTTAGTTTTCAACTCAAATAACTTTGTGATTTCCTCAGGATGACCACCATAGTTCAACAGGTAGCGGAAATGCTTAATGCATACTTATCATTTCATCACGTGAAATATTAAAAAGACATGTACTCAAGGGTTTATCAAAGACATTCTTGAGTGAAACTGGATTAAAATGACCACTAGTACAGCTTGGGGTTACTGCTTTTATTCATGATAACATGTCAGTGGTATCCCCCCAATTGCCTTTTCCACTGTTGACATCAATGTCAACAGTGAAACTGGCAAATAACATCTTCATATAATCACGAACATAGTTCTGACCTCGTAGACCCCCAAAGGGGTCTTGGGAAAAACCCTAGTGGTCCAAAGACCACACTTTGCTGAGCAAACAAATAAACAGAAAAACAGACGCAAAAGGCTATATAAGATTCATTCATATAAAAGTTCATGAACAGGCAAAACTCAATTATATTGTTTAAGAATGCATACTTAGTTGATAAAACACACTGGGAGATTTTAAGGTACTTGGTCTACTTGATAGACCAAGCAGACAAAAATTAGTAAGGCCATAGAAGATGTAAACACAATTAGAAATCTTAGTCTAATGACCATATACAGAACACCACACATAACAATAACAGAATATACATTCTTTACAAACACATAAACACTCATAAAAACTGACAATATACTATACTACACAAAAACAAATCTCAATAAAAACAAAGAATATTATATGAACTATATTCTTTGACTGCAATGCAATTAATTTAAAAACAACAAAAAGATAAGTTAAAAAACAACATTTAGAAGTTTTAAAAGTATACTTTTAAGTGGTTTATAGGTTAAAGAAGAAATCACAATAGAAATTAGAAAATATTTAGAACTGAATACAAATACCACATCAAAACATGTGAGGTGAGCCAAAATGGTGCCAGAGGAGACATTCACAACTTTTAAATGGCTTTATTAGGGAAAAAATGAATACTGGATGAGATGATTAGGGGAGATTAAATCCCAAGAAAATACAAGGAAATAACTAAACCTGTGAATAACCTAACATATTTAAATGAAAAGACACTGTATCTTATCTATAGAAATATGTCCAAAAAGGTCCTACCCAAGTTATTAAGTGTGTAGATATCATAGCACCTCAAATGATCAGTTTCAACTGACTGGTTAATTCCAAAGCCCAGTACACATTTATCACAATGCTAGCAATCATGGCTATCCGCAGCCCCATTCTCTCAATAAGATTTCTTTAGCGTCAAGTGCTCCAACTTGAATCTTAGGTGGAAACCCTTTCTCCACCCTTCCAATTGCAGATGTGATCCTCCCAAACCCTCGCTTCTGCTGTGATCTTAATACTTTAAGAAAAACTCAGATTGTCTTTCTGTAAAGACCAAGGGGGCCACGCTTTGAAAGGAAACTCAGAAATTCGCTAAGGTTGTACCAGAGTTAAGTTGGAAAAACTCAAATAAACTCAATAAAAGATACTTGCAAAGCTGTAGAAGTATCATGAGAAATAGTACAAATAAAATAAACGATCTTTTCTTTTACCCCTTCTCTTTTACGCACAATCTCCTTCCTGTCCTTTTACACACAATCTCCTTCCCTTTCTATCTCTCTTTCCTCTCCTGGTTGCAGGAACCTGCAGGGATCAATGTGGAGAATCAAGGTGAAGACTGGCAGAAAAAGAGCCTGGTTCCTTTCCACATTCCAGTTCTCCACAACTTTTTGGCTGTCATCACATTTCCAGCCTTTCTTAAGTCACTGTACCAGGTGTCATCCAAAATAGATCTGCCACTCAAATCTGTGATATCAATATTACGATCTGACCACAATCTCTTAATTTTCCTGTTTTCTCACTCCCTCACTCCCATTACCTTTACTCCAGACCCCTTCAATTTGTTTTATGAGGGAGAGATGAGAAAGGAACTGTGCTAGCACTGGCGGCACAACAGTGAGCAGGTTCCCAGGCCTTCAGACCTGGGGCAAGCCTACAAATCTGGCAAAACCACACAGCCAGACAGAAATGTGGTCACTGTACACATTGTTATTCAGTCTCAGCTGGATTCTCAATGCTACAGTCCAATCGTTTTCTTATCTTTGGCTTCTCCTCTTTTGCAAACCTTTTCAATTCTCCTCAAGCCACCTTCCCAACCCTGGTGCCTCTTAACTCTCTTAATTTACATCCTACCTCATAGAGAGAAAAAAAAAAAGAGAGAGCATGAGGCTTGATTGAAACTACTCTGGCAAAGGTCATGAATGAACTATTCATTTCTCAGATTTTCCCATGGTTAGCTCCCTCCTATCAGTCAGATTCTAGCTCAAATGCTACCTTCTCAAAGAGCCCTTCACTGACTCGCTGTGGAAAAGTCATTCTCCTATTTATTCTATCCCCTAGTTCTGTTTCATTTCCTTATAGGATGTATCATGAAGGAAGGGACCTGTCCCTGTCCTGGTCACAACACTCCTCAGCAGTAAGTGCTCCATAAATATTCACTAAATAAACTATTAATAATTCCTTTAGGAAAATTAGTTCTGATTTGCTCAAGTTTTGAATTATGCATAAGCTTCAGTATCACAACCCTTGCATAAAACTCTTTTCCAAATTCAGCCCATTACAAAGTCAGCTTTTCTCTCTACTTCTCCTTCTTCTAAATCTAAGTTCTATCTGGACTGCTTTCTTGACCTCATTGCCACCTGCATCTGCCATCCCTTTAAACCTGTTTTGTCATTCTAGACTTTTTTCAGTATCTGGCTTGTGTTTTTCCTCTCTATCTCATCCCTCTTTATTTTCAGGAACTTCCTCTACATGGTGACATCATCAGTGACTGCAACATACTATGTGTCAACTACTAACCACAGCACAACCTCGGCCTCAATCTTACCCTGAACTGTTTCCTCTTAAAAACCTCAGCACTCATCTTTCCCAGCCCCTGTACCCAGTGATCTCGTTCTTGCTCTTCATTGAAACTTCTAAGTTGGCAGTGCCTCCACTTTACACTTCTGGATATACACTGGATTTCCTACCAATTTGCTGTCAGTGTCCTACTATTAATGCAACTCTTAGTCCCATAGTAAACTCTGGTCTTTCTGCCACATGCTGTTCCCCATCTTATACTCCAGAGCACCACTACAAGTCTTCAAATACCATTTTAATATATTTAATTTTAGACGGGATTATTTAAAATTACATGTTAAGATTTAAAGCAGAGCAAGACTTGGGGTAAGCAAGAGACTATCTTTCATAGAAATAATGTTCAACAGGGAGCATGGGCATTCCACATTCTCATTTGGTTATGACAGTATGTGTGATTTACATTAGTCCCCAGTCACCAACCTGAGTATTTAGAGGGAATACTTACATAGATAAGTCCTGAATAGTAACGATCCTTCAGATTGTGTAAAACAGAAGCTTCGTTCAAACACGTCAATTCTGCCATATCCTCCACCTTGGAAAACTTAGGTGGGTTCATCTTCTGAATATCATCTTTGTTGACCATTGCTTTCTTTCCGTTCTCTGCCAATTCCACCATAACTTCATCTCCCCGCTCTTCTTTGATACTAGCGGCCTCAAAACCATGGCGTTCTGATGGAATCCACACTAGCTTTTTAGCTGTCCAATCAGCCTGGGTGGCAGGGTTATAGATGACAGCCCTGTCCACAAAGAGATACCTCTCGGGATCTTCAAGTCCACTTCTCTGGGCCATTGTAAACAGAAGGATCCAAGAGCAATTGCCTCTACGAGAAGAGGAGGAGGACAAAGTTAGGTATTTAAAAACATAAAACGATTCACAAATTTTATTCTTCTAAGAAATTTAAAGCAAAACCTTTGGTAAGCAGAAAGCATAAACTTTGAGTTAAGGAGTTGGGATATTCCTCTTCATGGCCATACTAACCAAGTTTGTAAGGAAAATTTCAGGGGTGACCACAAATTATGACTCTGGTTGTCTGAAGACCACTCAAGGCATGCCCTCAGTCACTGAGGGCTGAAAAACAAGCAGGAGGGAAAAAGCAAAGTTCCAGTTTGACTTTTTTTCCTCTTCATCTTCTCTTCTGCTCTCACCACAAATTAAACAGAGTTAAGAAGGGAAAAGAGAATGAAGAAAAAGAAAACAAAGACTCATAATAAAAGGCCTATGGAGTGGTACCAGAATTAGTGTGACTACCAGGGTACAGCTACAAAAAGCATGACAGCCAAAAGCGTAAAGCATCAGGTCTAAAACGAGCCTCCCACTCTACCCTTGGATGACAGACTCCAAGTTCTTCCTTACAAGTACCCCAAGTCAGTCCCCCTATGGCTTCTCTATGGCCCGTGGTCTTAATGTGATCAAATGAAGCCACAGAGGACAAGCGTAACTTGGCTTCACAAAACAGCCTTTCAAGTATGTGATGGTAGCTATTCAGGTCTCCACTCCCATTCCTGCAGCTGCTCCTACTCCCTCTGTCTTCTCTTCAGATTCCATCATTCATCAAGACTCATTCCACTACCCTGAGCTCTCGCCTCTAAACGTACTCCCTGTGCTTATATGCCCTTTTAGAGTGTGGGGCCCAGAAGCAAATAATATTCCAGATATGGTCTGACCAGTGCAGAAGAAAAAGGAAGCTGGGAAAAGTTCGGTTCCTGTGACTTTTACAAGTAATGTATCTCAAGATCTAACTAGTTTATTTAGCATCATTCACTGCTGGCTCACAAAGAGCTGTCAGCCAAAGCTCCATACATGATGCTCTAAGCTACCTCTCCTCCTATATTTGTACAGTTGTTGGCTTTTGGGATCAAATGACAAGATTTTACATTCATCATTCACCTTTCTGAAGTGACTCATCATTCCTGCCTGACAGTATCTTTCTGGGATCCAATACCATCATTAAACACTTTTGTTAATACTCCAAATTCCAGGTTATTACAAATTTCATTAAGCATGGTTTCCATGACTTCATCCAAATCAATGCAAGAAGCCAACTGAATGCCTATTCTTGTTCTATCAAATCCTCCCAATTTCTCCCTCCCCTAGAACTGATGGGGCTTCTTTGTAGGCAAGATAGAAGGCTGCAAAGTTAACTATAAAGTAGTCCAAAGTTGTTAAAAGGTTCTTAATCTTGAGTCTATAGACAAATTTCAAACTCCACGAAGTCATTGAAATGGTATAAAAATGTTATACGTTTACTGTGTGTGTGTGTGTGTGCGCGTGTGTGTTTTCTCTCTAAGAAGAACACTCATAACTTTCTTCAGATTCTTAAAGGGATCTGTCTGAGTCCAAAAAAATTAATCATTGATAGTGGGTACAGATATTAGCCCTTTCACCCCTAAAAAGAATTTACTAGAATCAAATAGCTAAGATTCTTCAGAAATTATTTGTTACAATGTAAGGCATTACCAACACCCATGCTCTAGAGCATGGTTCTCAAACTTTGGCATGTGCATCAGCAGCAACTAGAAGGCTTATTAAAATACAGATTACCGGGCTCCATCCCCAGAGTTTCTGATTTAGTTAAATCTGTAATAGAGCCTGAGAATTTGTATTTCTAACAAGTTCTCCGATGCTTGCTGCTGCTGCTGGTCCTGGGAGCACACTTTGAGAACCATCACTCCACAGGTCTCTGGCTGCCATGGTGAGCCACGATTACTAGGTATTTGAGGTAGAAAAAAAGGTTGAAAACCAATGTTTTAGACTAATTTATAGCCTGATTTAAAGAATATCCTAATGTTTTAAGGGCTATGGACTTAGATAAAAAATCACAAAGCAAAATGGAAAAAAAATCACAAAACATGTAACATTAAGACTTCTACAAATAAAATTGCTAACATGTTTTATAACTAAACTTGCATTTGCCTTCTTACAGAAAATATTCATGGATACATGTACAGTCTGAAGAATGGTTTCAAAAGTCTACTACCTCTAGGAACTGCTCTTATAAGATTATTAACAAGTTTTCTGTCCTTCCAACTTATGCACTACACACTGCTAAGAAGGCATGGCTTTGAAGTCGGACTTATCCTAGATGAATTTGAAGACAATGGGACACACTCCGCCTTCAGGAATGACAGACAATTAAAAGGGAAAATAACTAATTATAACAAAATGTGATAACAAGTTACTGTTATTATTGTTATTAGGTATAAACTGTATATCCAACACCTAGGAAAGTGTCTTGCTGCCAGCAGGCACACACACATTTCTTTAATTTTATGTCAGACATGCTTGATAAATTTACAATGTACCGATTTGATAAAATAATTATTAACTATATCACTTACTTAAACATCTGCTCTAGAAATGATCTATATTATTTTAATTTATAGGTACCCGCTCAATTTTTTTTTTTAAAGGAACAAATATTCATTGTGTCTTCACTGGGTAGTGGGATTACAAATTACTTTTACTTTCTCAGAGTTTTCTACAACTAATTGAACTCTGTGAGGACAGTTTCCTGTTCCTTGCTATATGGGTAAGCACTTAGCCTAGTCTCTGGTCCAAGGAGGGGATCTATACCTATTGATCAAATATTACATGAGTGGTCCCTACCTTCATAGTGAGCTTTAACTTTTCTTCCAAAACCAAAAACCTACCATTCCTTCAAATCCTGACCCAAATGTCACCCTTTCAGAAGTTTCTTTTCAGGTCAATCTGGCAATTTAACCCTCATCCTATCCCTAACATTTTGCACTGCTCTTTTGGCATTCTTCTTGCCCTCCTTTGCACTGTCCCAGAATGCTTAGCAAGTAGCAGGTACTCAAATTGTTGTTTAATTGATAGTGCTCATGAGGCCAGTGAAGATTTTTTGTTCATTTTAACTCTTCGCTTGTGATTGCCAAATATGTTGTATTTTTTTCATTCTATTGCACATTTGGGACCCAACCTTGATAACACTGGCTTTTAACAGTAAACCACTCCCAAATGCTTTGCCTTGTGTAAAAAGGTAATACCACAATTTAAAAAATAGCAAGTACTGTCATTATATGTCACTAATTATGGTTAGACACTATTCTAAACAGTTTACATATATCAACTCTTAACCCTCACAATAGCCCTATGTAGGTACTACTAGTATCTTCATTTTACAGATGAGGAACCTGAGGTACACAGAAAGCCAATAACCAGCCCAAGATCACAGAGCTAACAAGTAGCAGAGCTGGGGTTAAATACAGAGTTCAGCTCCTGAGTTCCTTCTACAACAATAGAAAATAAAAGGGAAGTAATTTTGAAGGGCATGTTGTATACTATATATTACCTGTCTATAAATAAAAACCCCATCGATTATGGCTTCAAGAGTACAGGCTCAACCAATAAACACACTTGTATAATCTGGGAAATGCTTTATATTTTGTAGGGAACAAAAAAAACCCCCTATATTTGGGGGGAAAAGGAATAAATAGGAACCTCTTTGTAGGAGACATAAAGACAACCCAAAGATTCTTGGTATCATTTGAAATAACTGCCTAATTATAGTTAAATCATTTATCTGTATATGAATTAGTCCCCTTACAGTCAAAAGCCCCATCCCCTTCAATGCTTTTAGGGGCACCCACCTCTGGGATCCTTCCCTCCAGGCCAATTTTTGACATCCAATGAAATGCCACCCAGCAAATTTCTCACCCGTTTTCCAGCTCCTACTATAGGTATGGGCACAGGAAAACGATTCAATTTTATGAATATCGTACATATAAAAAGCCCCCCAAAAACGATGAACACATTTTCTATGCTAGAGCATCCCCAAGACAGAGAAACTAAAACAGAATTGTCCCAATTTGTGTAACGCTACTGCTGAGGTCACTTACATTAGAGACGTGCAAGTCTGTTAATTGATCAAAACACTTATTTTCTGAAACTTGGACCCGTAACACCAGGAATTTTAATTCTTCACGTATGATGAGAAACTACATAAACTGCAGTCGCATATAGTCTTTCACCATACAACATGCCCTTCAAAATTTCCTCCATCTCACCTTCCATCCAGTCTATCTTCATTGTAATGATTTCCCTAAGGAGCCCAAATAAAAAGCCAGGCTCTCGGGTCACATCCCTTTGCTGCAAAAGCTAGTGCTGTATCGCACAATTACACCATATGCTTTCTCCAGATAAGGACGGGGAAGAACTGAATTTAAGATGCAGAAGTAAGGAGATGCATAAAATGGCCACTTTTCCAGAATCTTAGACAGACAGGGCATACTTAAACATCAAAAGCATGAGACTAAAAGGATAATTAACAAGGGCAGATTGATGAAGGAAATAAAACAATAAAATAGATTAAAGTTTTCTAGAGTGAGATACTATCAAGAATAATTAAGCCTGACTCAAAGAATCCTCAGTTTCAATGTTAAAAAACAAAATCTCGGCAAAGCCAAAGTATTATATTTAGTATTATATTATTCAGCGAAAACAGCAGTCTTTGTTTCATTTGCAGTCTGGATCTACCCCGCCTGCTTTCCCCTACCCCACCCCACCCCACCCCACCCCCTTCCATCAACCGCAGTGATCTTGAAGGGAGCTGCAGAGGCCCTAAGAAACAGAGATAACGGTCACAGGCAGAGGCCACGTTACCCAAACCTCACCAGCTGAGCTCAGACCCACTGAGTCGCCAACCTCCTTCCTAAGGCCCTAGTTCCCAGGCAGGCCAAGCTGGGGGCCTTCGCGGTCCCTGGGCCGCATCCGCCCACCACAGGCCCACAAAGCCCCCGCACACGCCAGGACTCCGCGGCTTCAACTTCCCTCCGACCCCATTCCAGTCCAATTTTATGGGATCCGGGTGTGACCCCAGATGCAGAAGGCCAGGAAGACTCTGCGGCGAGCCATTCCCAGATCACTTACACAATAAAGGGATCCCGAAGCGAGGGCTGACCCTCCCCCCGACCGCCGTGCTGCAGCGCGCCCCCGCCACATTTCCCGCCTCACCCCCCTAAACTGCCAGGGCCTCACCCGGCGTCCACCCCCAGCCCCTGAGGCCCACAGAGCGCGTTATAAGACGCCCCCTCCCGCCCTCCTTCCTGGGCACCAGAGGAGCCCGACCTTCCCCACGCTGGAGGCCAGTTCCTCAGACCCTCAGCCGCCGCGCGCTTTCCCCGCGGTGCAGAGCCCCTGCCCTCCAGTCCCCTCCAGTCCCCTCCAGCCTACCGGACCGGAGCGCGCCGCTCGCCTTCCGAGCCCTCGGCGAACCCCTTACCGCACCCTGGGTGCTGGACCCGGCCTAACCCACCTAGCACCCACCAGGGGCCCTTCCTGTCTAGAGACCCCTCACCCCCAACTGGGATAGCGCTTTCCAGCCCGCCCAGGACTCCCTTCCCTCCTGGGAGGCAGACACTGACTCGCGGGTCACCCTGAGACCACCCCCAGCAGGGTCCCAGGGCCCACTCAACCCCGCGCCCCACAGATCTCACACACCGAGTACCAGCTCCCCACATCCCTACACCCAGATCTCTATCTCCAACCCCCCAGGGGTCGTCCTCCCGCACACCCAGGCCCTGATCCCCGCAGGGGTCTCACTCTCAAGGACCTCATTCCCCGCCCCTCCAGGGGTCTCTCCACCCACTGGGGGTCCCATTACCTAACTCCCCAGGTCCTTCGGCGCACGAATCTACGGTCCCTGCAGCACAAACCCTCCGCCCAGACCCCCCTCGGGCTTCCTCCGGCTCCCGCTTCGGCTTCGTTCCTGCCCTCCAGAGCCGCCGGGTTCCCCAGCTCAGGATCCTTCCCTCCCCCACAAACCGTCCCTCCTCCCCGGGCCGCCGCACTCGGACCCGGAGAGGCGCACCTCTCACCTTCAGCCGAAGATGGTGGCGCCGGCGCACGTCCCCAGCCGCGACCACAGATCCGGTGCCTCAGTCCCAAACCCACCGCTGCCTCCGCCGGGCTCCTTTAGCACTGCTGCTCGGAGCTGCCCCACCCACCCCCACCCTCATTGGGCCAGCTCGACGCCCGTCACCGCCGCCCCCAGACCCACTGGTCCGTTTGCGCGCCCATCTCCAAGGGAAGACGTTAGCAACCCGAACGAAGCTACCTTCCCGAGGTCCGCTCCCTCCACCCACCTGAAATGATGCTCATTGGCTCCCGCTCCCAGCCCAGGCCGCTGGGGCTCCAACCTCATAGGCTGCCTAGCACGCCCGTCATAGATTCCGGGAGGTGCGGCCGGGGCAGTCGCGGGCGATTGGCTGGATCACGGGGAGATGGACAGCTGAGGTTGGCTGGGCTCCCGGTGATCCCGCGGGGCAGTGGATACAGACCCTGTTAGGGCCGGGGCCGTGCAGGCAGTGGGGCAGGTGTACGGTGGCCGTTGCCCGGAGCTCCGCCTGGATGCGCCTTTCCCTGGCGTCGGGCCACCAAAGCAACCCATTCGAGCGCCTGCTGTCTGCTCTGCCGGCCGCAGCCGGCGTGTCCCTCAGCGGGACCGGCTTCCACCGCCGAGTCGCCGGCCCCCGGAGCTGCCGGCTGGGGCGGGGCGGGAGCGCGGTCCAGAGGCCTTACGTCACCCCCGGGGCTGCGGGGGGTGGGGACCGCGGCTCTGCGGCTCACCTGCAGTGGGGGAGGGGAGGCAGGACTGGGGTGCAGCTCTGCCCATGCGCACGGGCTTTGCCGGGGATGGGGTTGTGGGCCGACTGGGGTCAGCGCTCCGGCCACTGTCGCCATCCTGGGAGCCGGGTTCACCTTGTCTTAAGCCCGTTGAGCATCGGGTGCTGGACAGCTTCCTCCGCTGCCGCAGTTTTGGTGTTTGCGAGAGGAGGGGCCCTTCTACCCAGCCTCCTGGCTGGGCTGAGATTCCAGAAGAACAAGAAACGAACCCGCCTTGGAGAGAAGACGGGAAAGGACTTCGTTCGCCTCATTCATTAGTTCATTCATCAAATGGAGACCCCTGCGTGAGAGGGGCTATGAGGAGGTTCTGCAGGGCTATTATATCCCCTTAGGGCGGATAAGAAACGTTTGAGACCTGAAAAAATGGCCCCAAAATAAGGGAAGGGAACTGAAAAAAAAATCAAAGTTAATAAATATTTAATGAAATGTCTGCAAAAACTAGTCAACTGCAACAGGACAATAATTATACACAAATATAATAAAGCTTAAGTCACAAGAATAAAATGAATGATTTATTCTTACAAAAACTGGAAATTATGAATTCTTTCAAAAAATTTTCCTGCAAGAAGTAGTTATTTCATATTGGATATGGGTGCATTTTAATATGTGTGCTATGATGTAAGTGGCTAAGCCTAGGAAATTTCCAGTGTTGTAAAAAGTAAATAAAGCAAAAAACAAAACAAGGCAGGAAATGATAAGGAAGGGTTGGTGGAATTCAGAGAAGGTTCCAAGGCAGCGGAGTGCAGAGTCCTTCCTGGGGAAGTCAGAATCAGGTCCTGTATTGTCCTTTGTCCTAGTGCATCTGGTCCCCCACCCCCTCCTGCCTGCTGGGTAAGCTGCCCCTTGTCCAGGTGTCTTGTGACTTGGCTCCATAAAGACGTCTGTCCTTAATGCAGTCTGCACATGGAGTGCAAATGAACAATACAAAATATGTGAATGGTATTCCTCTTCTGAATTTTAAAACATTTCTTAGAGAAGACCAAAGACGCTGTCTCTAAGGCCTGACTGAGTCTCAGCTTTGTCAGCCACTGAAGTCATTTCTGAATGCAGTGTTCCACGTTTAGAGCATCCACACACAAACAGCTCCAAGTCCATGGTTCCTCATAATTTTAAAACAAACTCAGTGGACCATCACAAATGGAGGGCAGGAAGATCACCAGAAATAAACATCACAAAGATGTTAGTCTTGATGAAAAATCAATAGTAAAGAGAATGTCCCCAAATGTATCACTAGCCCTGGCATCTCTCCAGCACTTGGGCCCTATATTTTCAACTGCCTGCTAGACATTTCTACCTAGATGGGTGGGAAATTGCAAAAGCAGTAAGTCCCAAACCTATTTTCTTCCCACTTCCACTTCATCCTACCACCCAAAGTCTCTCTCTTCCCAACTTCCCTTGTCTGTTAATGAAATGGGTCTTGAAACCTCTTTGATTCCTTTCTCTCCCTTGCTCCCACACCGTGTCCCCTTCCACCTCTATCCACCTCTAGTCCAGCCAGACTCTTTTCATTTTCACCCCATGTAGCTCCATCCCAGAATGTGTTGCCATTTCAGTGAGGAAAGCATGGGATTTAAGACCAGATAGACCTGACTTTGAATCCATCCCTGCTACTAACTAGGTCATTAACCTTTGACAAATTTCTTAACCTCATCTTGAAAAAGGGGGTACGAATATATAGGTAAAGGACTCATTCAACAAATGTGTAACAGGATGATTTACTGGGGGGAAAAGTGGCATAATGAATATACATATTAAAAATTGTCTTTTTTTTTAGTCGGCAAGTTCATTACAAAAGAGAGAAAATCCCCCCCCCCCTCGCCATAGGAATTTTTGTTGGCAGTCTAGGCTGCTTTTACCCCCATAAGAGAAAGTTCAAAGACCATTGTTTTTCAGAGTCTAGGTCAGAAGTCCAAACTAGTTCCCTCAGGGCAGTTCCGGCCCATGAAACTGTTTTATTCTAAACTGTTTTGTTCCATCTGTACATGGCAGATATGAAGCATTTTTTTTTATTTGAATGAATTCCAACATTTAAAAATCAAGAGCTATCCATTAGCCTTTAGGGAAATGCAAATCAAAACTATAATGAGATACCCACTTCACACCCACTAGAATGAC